GGAGCGCGGCCCCCCACCGCGCGGCCGCCGCCAGCCGCCGCCGCCAGCAGCGCCTCCCCATGCCGGCCGCCCGCACTGGGCCGCCTGCTCCCCGACGTGCCCCGCCGTGCACTAGCGAGTGGGGGCCGCCGTCGAGCGCGCAGAGCGGAGACGGAGAGTAGGGGTCCCGGAAGAGGGCGTGCGCCCTGTGGTCCCAGGACCTAGAACTCTCCGGAGGCAAGAAGCACCGCGAAAGACAGCCCGCCCCCCTTCTCCATACACACACCCACACACACTCCAGCCCTCCCCGCTCCCTCCCTGCCACCGCGCGCCCGCCTGCCCCGCCTGCCCCTCCTTCCCGGAGCACTGATGTCCTGTCCAGGAACACAACCACAACTTTGGGGGCCATTCAAACCCTTCAGGTGCCACTCATCAACATCTGGGGCCTTGGTCTGTTTGCTGGCTTGAGATTGGTCCTCACCCCATAGGGTGATGGGAAACGAAAGTAGATGGCTGGTGCCTGGCACTCATTAAGCCGTATAAGTGCTTAATATGATTGATTAGTTGGCATCATGTGGTTGTGGTTCCGTGCCTCCGGGTTGGTTCTGACTCATAGCAACCCTGTGTTCAACAGAACGAAAACTGCCCAGCCAACCCTGTGCCATCCTCACAACAGTTACGTTTAAGTTCGTTGTTGCAGCTAGTATGTCCAGCCGTCTAGTCAAGGGTCTTCCTTTTTCACTGCCCCTCCATGGTACCAGCATGATGCCCTTTTCCAGGGACTGGCGTCTCCTGAAGGAGCCCCGGTGGTGTCGTGGTCACTCGTTGGGATGTTAGCCTTGAGGTCAGCAGTAGGAAACCACCAGCAGCTCCTTGGGAGAAAGATGAGGCTTCCTGTTCCTGTAAAGAGTTTCGGCCTCAGAAACCCACAGGAAAGTTCACTCCTGCCCTAGAGGGTCATCCTGAGTCAGAAGGGGCTCCATGACAGTGAACAAGGTTTGGGTTTGTTTGGTTTCTGCTGATAAATCCATCTAAAGTCCACGAGGTGAAATCTCACCATCCTTGTCTGTAAGGAACATTCTGACTGTATTTCGCCCAAGACATATTTGTTTGTTCTGTTTGGCAGTTCACGGTACTTTCGATAATCTTTGCCACACCAAAGTTTATTTTATTTGTGGCAAGTGATCCTGATTTCTGTTTCAGGGGTGCTATAAAAACTTCTAATACATTATTCAAATGTGAAAAGTTCATTTTAAGGAAAAAATATTTCGTAAATACTAGTTACACTGACTCAAAGATATGCCCCAGATGATGATAGCTCTCAAGTAGCAGTAAGAAACCCAGTTAAACCAGAACTTCCTTGTCAGGAGTTTGGGTGGGAGCCATCTCTCCTGCCTCTCCCCCCACCCCTCCCGTCCCCTGAAAACACACACATATTCTCCCCCCTCCTGTTCCCCAGAAAGACCTATTACTGCTGCTCTGGGCCCAGGAACACGCCCAATTTCCAGTGAACCTCCCTTCAATCCAGGTTTCCCTCGCTTAGCTCCACCTGGTGCCCAGAGGCTGCCACCTGGTGACCAGAATTAAAATAACAGCTCACCCTGCCTTTGGCTCTGGGTCCACAGGTGGTTAGAGGCATAGCCCCGCCCCTAGAGGCAGCTAGGGGGAGGTAAGAGGATGCCATGCCTGCCAGAGGTCTGGACCTTTTCCCTCTGGAGAAGATGCCCTCTGCCCTCTGTGCCTGCTCACAGCGTCTGTCCTTCACGCAAGTGCATCCGTCTACTCTGTGCGGAGGCTCCAGTGGGATGCACAGGATGGCTTCGGACTCTGGAAAGGAAGTAGGAATGAATGTGGACTATGGGACCTGGAACACAGTGGTTAGGTATTGGACTGCTAACCATAGAGTCAGCAGTTCAAAACTGCCAGCCAGCTCCATAGGAGAAAGATGAAGCTTCCTGCTCCGGTAAAGAGTCACAGCTTCAGAAACCCAAAGGAGAAGTTATACTCTGTCCTATAGGGTCGATATTAGTTGCGATAAACTTGAAGCAGTGAGTTTTGTTGTTTGTTTTTAATGTGGCCTTGGGGGAAAGGGGAGGCTATCTCTTAAAGATTTACAGCATCGAGAACCCTATATAGGGTCGCTATAAGTGCTATGACCTGAAATCAACTCTGACAGTGGATTGGGGGTTTGGGGCTAGGTGGCATGGTGGGCAAGGCCTTGGGCTGCTAACCAGAAGGTCGGTAGTCCAAACCCACCAATCGCCACATGGGAGAAAGATAAGATGGTAAGACTGCCTTCTCCAGTAAGTATTTATGCTCTCAGAAACCCCATAGAACGACAGAGAAATAAGCAAATCTATCTCGGGGGAAGGACAACCAGAATGCTTCTTTAAAAAGCATTTATACTTTGGACCTGTTATCATGGTTAGATTTTATGCCATCTTGTGCCTGTGTGAAAGTAGAGGGGGGGTCCAACTTATCAATCTGGTCACAGCCTGGTGATGGCTCCTTGGTGCTGTGGCTTTTTATGAGAGGCACTGAGAACCCTCGCTCTTGTCCCCTGCACCTTCCTGCTTGCTTGGATCCTACACCTGTGTCCAGGGCTTGGGGTAATGCCCTGCCATGTTCCCATGGACCTTGGATCCACTTGATCCTGCACCCACCAGCCTGTGACCTCCCAGCTTCGACTTCCTGCTTCATTCACCAGGAGCTGCATGAGTTTGAAGGGGTCTCTGGCTATCGTTGGACCCATGAACTTGAGTTGGACAGGGTTAGGTCCCTTTCTTGATATAAAACTCTTCTTTATATAAAGTTATTTCTTATACACATATGTCGCTAGTTTTGTTGCTCTAGGGAACTCAGCCTAACACAGGAATCCATCCCAGGGAAAAGGGCATCATGTTTGGTAGAGGGTCGGTGAAACAGAAGACTCGAGGAAATTATTTGGGGAACAACACCTGACCTCTTCCCGCTACACAAGGGGGAAAGGAGATTCAAACACCCACCAGCCAATGGCTGGTTTCCATGAGGGATTCCCCCACCCTCCAACTGCCTTTACCCTGCTCTGACACCAACTGTCTCGGCCACGGAACACTACATCTCTACTGGGTTCAATAATCTATGGCCGCAACGAGCTCACAGACAATACTCGTAATTATAGGGTTTTCTTAGAGAAGCTGTTATGCTCTGGCCTGGTCTATGTCCATAATAAAGTCGGCGCCATGTCTAGCAAGGAAGTGGGAGTCCTCATAGCTGCTGCGCAGGTGCACTTGTCATGTTTCTAGAGGTGAACATTCCCTGACCTTCTGTTCCTTACACTTCCCAACACCAATGTCACTGTAAAGAAGACCCACACCCTCCCAACTTGACCGATAGGTAACATCGTGATAAACGGAGATAAGATGGAAGGTGTCAGGAGATGTTGGATCCGCAGCCAATGCTGACGGAGGCTAGAGATCAAGTGATGAATTGCAGCGGGTAAACCTGCTATATCAGATCTCTTGAAAGTGTTGAAAAACTAGGTTGTTACTTTAAGGACTAAGTGTGCCTGCCCCCCGCCACCCCAAAGCATAGGCAGAAGGAGCTATCATTGATTGAGGGCTATTCCTGGAGAAGGTGAGGAGGGGGCTGTTCACCCTAGCCCTTCCAACCTGCTCTTAGAATAAGCAAGGCAGGTTTTGGATCCCCAAGAAAAGTGCCAGGCAGGCAGGCTGCCCAGCCATCTCTATCTTCAGGTGCCCAAGGCCTACAGTGGAGCCTGGCACAGGAAGGGACTCCATCAATCCTGCTTGGAAGGTGGGCGAATGCCATTTGGCACAACTGAGTCCCTGCTGAGGGGAACAGGATTGCCTTCAATCTCAATGACAGCGTCTCCCTGGGCCAGCAGTGGCCCAAGAGGGTGTCAGAGCACTGGAGTAAGAACACTGGAGATTGAATCGCACGTCCAGCCTTGATGTTGTGGTAACTTGTTGGGCTGTGATCCCCAAGGTCAGCAGTTTGACACCACCAGCCGCTCTGCAGGAGAAAGATGGGGTTTTCAACTCTTGTAAGCAGCCTCGGGCACTCACAGCGGCAGTTCTGCCCTGCCCTCCAGGGTCCCTAAGAGATGGCATTCACTCCAAAGCAGTGAGTTTTGGTTCTCGCGCCCTTGACCCATGAGTGACCTCACGCATGTCTCCTCACCTCTCTAGACCTCCCTTTCTGTGTCCGTGGCCTGGACACTCATCTATACAATTGATTTCTGTCCTCAGTAGCCCAAACAGTTCATTGCATAGATGGGCTCATTCCAGATTCGCTGACCCCTCTTGGGGCAGGAATGGGAAAAGTGGGGTGTCCCATTACTTGGCTGAAGGGGCGACTTCAGGGCTGGGCGCGGGAGAGCCGAGCCTATTTCCCAGCTGTACAGGCTGAGACGGAGTGACTTTCTCACAGAGCCATTAAGAAGACCTCTGTGGCTGAGTTGGCACCTGCCCACTTCTCCCTCGGTGCCCTTCTCCATACACGACAGAAGGGGAGACTCCAGAGGGCACTGGCTTCTTTGGCTCGGGCCCCAGCACGCTGGGCCTCCCCTCAGGAGCATGCTGCAGCCCACCTCCTAGAAGCTCAGTACCACTTGGTTCCCCTAATCAAGATCTGAACCCTGTCCCTGACCCTGTCTCCCCCATAAGACTTCCAGGGCAGCGCCCAATATGTGAGCCAACCAACGATCCAAAGCTGTTGCCTAGAACACACAGACTCTGGACACCTAGCCCAGCCACCCAGGCACCAGCCCCCCCTTCTTTCCACTCACAGACGGGTTCACTGCTCCGAGCACAGCCCTCCCCACCAGATCAACACCACAGGTGGCCAGCCTAGGGGTCAGGGACCCTGTGACCCTCTAATGACTCCTGCCACAGGTTCAGACCCAATGAGGAGTGGGGGAGTGGCTTTAGGTGTGAGGTCGTTGCCCAGCCAGGCCCTGACTGCCTGCTGTCCCTGGCCTCCTCCTAGACCAGCCTCTGCACCATCCCATCCAGACATGTCCAGCCTGCGGGGGCTGTGCTCTGGCCTGCCCTTGCGGCCCCTGCCAGAAAACCGTGGACGCTGGGTCGGAGTGCCCCATGCCCCAGTCAGGACCCCTGGCTTCAGCCCTGAAGAGGAAGAGGTAAGAAGGTGGGGGCTGACTCATCTGTTCCATTCCTTCTGGGACCTTTGCCTCTGGATGCTGTTGGGTGGTCTGTGAGGAGTACCCGATTTCCAGGAGATACTGATGTGTGCCAGGTTCCATCACTGCTGTCACTGCAACCTGATGCACAGTCAAGTGCACGTGTATCTCCACGCTCAGCGTCTGGGATTGTGTTACACACACACACACACACACACACACACACGTGACTTTGGCATCCTGGTATACCATAGGGCTGTTCTTATTTCAGTTCATGAATAATCATGATGAAGAAAGTTGCCAGCAAGTCGACTCAGATACGTCCGTGTGCATTAGGGTAGACTTGCTCCCCCGTCTTCTTCTGCTTTTCTTTTCTCTCTCTCCATGTCCATGTTGAGATAGATTGAGCAATTCAACTCCGATATTAGGAAGCACGTAAGAGTTTCCATGCATGGTCTGTGTCCAGGAGGCGTGGTTCCCGGACCTTCTGTCTTGTGACAGGAGGTTTGCAAGAACCGGGTTTTTGATTTCTCAGGCGCATCCAGGTGGACTCAAACCCCCGGCCTTTCAGTTAGCAACGAAGCGCTGAACTATTTGTACCACCCAGAATGTCCCATGTAAGAGGGCCTCCCCTGAAATCGTCAAGTGAGCTCACAACTCCATGGATAGGACTGTCCTTGCAGATGGTGAGGCTGGTGAAAGGTGTTGGTAGAAGGACCCGAGCCTGTTCCCCCTTACATCACGCCCCGTATCCTTTACAGATACACAGATTGGCAATGGAGGGCACAACCCTTAACTCCTGAGGCAAGCCTAAGCCACTTTGGAAACTTCCCCCACTCATTCATAAACTGGGAGAGAAATAATTATACTCCAGGGGGTTCCCTCCCCCCAAAACTTACTGTCATGAGTTGATACTTATTCCTAGCCACTCTATGTAGAGTTTGAGACTGTAGGTCTTTGGGGGAAAACAAAGAGCATCATCTTTCTCCCCTGGAGCAACTGATGGATTTGAGCCACCGACCTTGTGACGAGCAGCCCTAGACCCACAGCACGAGCAGGGCTCCTGCCTCCAGGGCCCTGGGGACCAGCAAGCGAGATCGCTTTACAAACATTACTGTAGAATTTCAGGAACACTGGAGCAAAAGGAGAAAAGACGGAGAAGCACAAAGAATAGACAAAGACTCCTCCCCTCACAGACAGACTCAGTGGACCCCATTCTTCCCACGACGGCCCACCCTGACTTTTCCCTGAGGGTCACCACGGAGGGCATGGGAGGTGGGGGAAGAGAAGGCATCAGGGAGAGGTGGCTATAGAGATGAACTTAGTGAACACTTGCAAAGTGCCAGGAACAGTGCCTAATCCATAACCATGACAATGTCAACTCCCATCTTGATCTCAGGCAAGTTCACAAGACAGAGGGTCCGGGAACCACGCTCCTAGCACATAGACCATGCTTGAAAACGCGTACGGGCTTCCTAGTATCAGACTTGAATTTCTCAATCTCTCAACACGGACTTGGAGAGAGAGAGAAAGGGAGGGTGGGGGTAGATGGATAGGGCAGGGGTGTACCTTCTGCCCCCGTGCTCCTCTTATCTGCTCAACTCAAGATGAGGTCAGCGTAGTTAATGTTTCTCTGCCTCGGCTAAACTCTCCTGTTGGGTGTCAACAAGACCTGGAGCCAGCCCTCCCTGCCCCCTGTCCCCAGCAGGGACACCCTTTTATTGTACAAAGGTCCATGTGACAGGGTTTGGCACTGAGAAGGGGTGCCAGTTTGCTCATGGATACAGCCATTTTCTTGAAAGACACGAAGTCCCAGCCAGGTCCCCAGCCCTGTGGTCTGGGGAGTGTGAGGTACTCAGGGGGCTCCTTCTTCTCCTGGGCACCAGAGTCCACCCCCGCATCCACCTGTCTCCGAACCCGGAGACGGCACACTTCCTGTTCCTTTGGCTTGGTTTTCACTCTTTACAGAAGTGCCGTGGTGGTTCAAGCACCAGTTGCTAACCGAAAGGCTGACCGGTTTGCACCCACCAGCAGCTCTGTCGGGAAAGACGTGTCCATCTGCTTTCATAAAAAGGAAGCCTTGGAAAGCCAGTGGGCAGTTCTGCCCTGGACCATAGGGGCACAGTGAGTTGGAATCGACTTGCTGGCAGTGGGTTGGTTTGGGGGTTTTAGAAAGCAACAAATGGAATATGATGAGAAGGTACCTGTCAGTCTTTCCCTCCCCCTGTCAGCAGTCCCCAGTTCACCTTCCCAAAGACACTCTCTGCACATTCGAGCACAGATGTCTGAGCACCCTTCTTTAAAACGTGTGTGTGTGTGTGTGTGTGTGTGTGTGTGTACTTGAGCAAGCTTACACAGCACTTGGGTTCTTATTAACACAAGCTGTCCAGTGACCTTGCTTACTTTCTCCACGAAGCATGAACGGTCTCACTGTTCCCATTCTGGTCGTGCTGTTTCCATTACATTCTCATCTTTGTTTGAAAGGAATTGCTTACCCGTAGAGGTGATTCTGTTCAAAGGAGCACTGTACCGGCAGGTGCTCCTCATTCTTTTTTAGCCAACTTGTTAGTTGGCTACAAGGTGACCTTGGGAGTTCGTTTCAGTTCAAAGCTTGAAGAGCATCTTAGGACAGCAATCTTGGGAAATTGTCCCACGTCACCCAGTCCAGAAGGGCTGTTCTTTATTTATGCGTCTGTGTTTTTAAGCATCCGAGGCTCTGCTCCACAGGTCCACCCTCTCTTTCAGAGGCCATTGATTGTGGCGTAGATTAGCATGGTTGGTAGTCTTAGCTGGGCACCACCTAGTTCTTCTCGGCTACGGGTAAATGAGGCTGGGAGGATAATTTGTCCCACAGATTAGTTTCTTTTCTGAGACTTCTTTTGTTTGCTCCAGATAAGAAGAGACCAATATTGTATCTAATACGGCCACTCGCAGGATTTTAAGACCCTAGACACTATTTATTGAACTGACTCTATAAGCTATGATATGCCATTTCCCCCACCAAGCTATGGTTCCAAACCCTCAAACACATAAATTCAAGCCCACGGGATATTTAATTATGCCTAAGAAGAATTCATGACTGTGCTCCCTCTATGCTTTATTATTTATAGGAACATGTGTGCATACGGTCACATAGATGCAAACACACATTTATAGACCTACATACTGTGCATATATGTGTGTGTGTATATATACATATATATATAAATACATTGGGCTGCTTTTTGCTATTGTTTACCTTCAACAAACTGTGTGTGCTTCACCCCATTCAGTGTTACCTTTCCCATCACCAGAAATAACAAGCATTGACTACGTAGAGCAGGGGTCCTCAAATTATGGCCCGCAGGCCACATGCGGCCCGCCGAGGACATTTATCCGCCCGCCGGGAGTTTTTCCCCCCTTTGTTTTTTCACTTCAGAATAAGATATGTGCAGTATGCATAGGAATTTGTTCATAGTTTTTTTTTAAACTATAGTCCGGCCCTCCAATGGGTGTGAGGGACAGTGAACTGGCCCCCTGTTTAAAATGTTTGAGGACCCCTAATAGAGAAAGAGCACCCAACAGCACAGTTGGGTAAACATTGGACAGGTAGCCACAAGCGTGCTCTAAATCCAAGGTAGTGGTGTTTAGTCGGTTTGTGTTTTTAATCTAGAGGAAACACACATCGTTCTGCGAAGGAGAAGATTACAGAATGATTTCCCTTCCCCCAGCCCAGATAGGTACTAAAACCCAGAAGGAGACCCAGAATGAACTGTTATCCAGTTGATTGACTCCCGGCAACGTCTTCCGCCATGCCGCGTTGTCCCTTCATGGGGTGTGAGAGTGGACATCCCTACAGCAGACGGCCTCGTCTTTCTCCCAGAATGACCATGGTGGTAATGTCAGGTGGCATCAAGTCAGTTCGAACACATAGCGACCCTGTGTACAACAGAACAGAACAAAGCGCCGCTCAGTCCTGTGCCAGCCTCGCCACCGCTGTTCCGGTGTGACCCATCGTGGCACCCCTCTGGCACTGCACCTCACGGAGAGGCTGCCTCTTTTCCACGGACCTTCTACCTTACCACTGTCATCTTGTCCTGCACTTACCGTGATGCCGCGCACTGGTGCTTTGGTGAGGATTTGCGCTGTCCTCCCATTGAGCGACAGTCTTTATCGGCGGCTGTATCCTTTGATCCTCGTCAGGAAGCGCTTCAAGCCCTCTTCCCCTTCAGAAAGCATGCAGTGCAGATCATTGATACGCCTTCCTCCACTCTTCATATAGCCAAATAATTCTTGAATCATTTGCTCAATTTAAACCATCCAGAATTCCCTTATTCTGTTCCAACAGCTACCTCTTGGTCTGTGTTTAAGTTCCTCTTAAGCACAGTGTTCTATAATGCCACCCCTGTTCTTGTTTTTGGTTTTGCAATATTATCTATAGTTGGTGATGATCCACAGAGGCAGATGCCTTTTCACAGTCAATGAAACAGGTAACCCCCTTTCTGGTGTTCTCGGCTTCCAGTCAGGACCCATCTGACATCAGCAATGATATCCCTCATGCCACATCCTCTACTGAATCTGGCTGAATTTCTGTCAGTTCCCTGTCAATGTATCACTGCAACCATCTTTTAATTATCATCAACAGCATGTTATTTGCATGTGATAATAATGATATTGTGAGATAATTCCTGAGTTCTGTTGGTCATTGTGGCCATTTCTTTGAAATGTCCAATGCTTACCCAAATGTGGGTCTCTTCTAATCAGTTGGCCAGGTAACTGGTTTCCAAATTTCTTGGCAGAGGCTGGTGAAGTACTTCCAGTGCTTTATCAGCTGGTTGAAACATTTCAATTTTCATTCCTCCAGTTCCTGTAGCCTTGCTTCTTGTTCGTGTTTACAGTGCGCTCAGCCTTCTTCTTTCGCCATCAGCTCTTGATCACACGCTACGCCTTGAAATGGCCTCTCCATCTCTGTCCCGCACAACGTGTTCCCGCCCTGCTCTTTGGACACCTTGGTGCCCGTGTCAAAGATCAGCAAAGCAGCCTCTGGGTCAGAGGGGTGGGGTGTCAGGCTGTTCTCGAGGGCTGTGGTGCTGGCATAGGTGTGGGCACTGGGCTGGGGCACCTGCTGCTGGCACTGCCATTGCTGGCCTCCTAGGTGTGCTGGGCCCCACTGGCTGGCAGTTCTTGTTGTGCCTGTGCCTCCCCTGGCACTCGTGGTCCTGCATCCCCATGCCTTCGTGGCTGAGCTGGCCCTCTCAGCCACGGCCTCAACTTCGACTGCTCCCACCCGCAGTGCCCTTGGCTCCCTCTCTGCCTGTGGCGCGTCCACCGTCTGGGACAAGGAGTACTTCCCTCCTTCTTTGCCTTCTGCGTAGCCCTTGCCCCTGGCTCTGGGCTGGCCTCCATGGGGGCCACAGTGCTGCTGAGGAGGCGAGTCTCGACTGCATGCCTGGCTGTGGATGCCAGCCTGGGGGGTGAGGGGGAGTGAAGGGTCACATCCCCTGCAGCAGCTGGCACCCCACAGGCCCTTTCCTGTGGTTCATGGCCATCGCCTGGGGCAGGTCTTCCTCTGTCATTGCAACAGCCACTTCTTCTACCTCTTCTTGGAGCATCTGCGGCTGCACCACACGTCCATGTCCATGAGTCCTTGCCTGTAGGGCATCACCCACATCACACTGCATCCCAGTAGCCTCTACTTCCTGCCCTCGTGCCCTCACTGGAGAGTCTAAGGGGTGCTTTCTCCTGCTCAAGGTGGGCCCCTCTCTCCTCCTGTTGCTGGCCTGCTCTGACCTCCCGGTCCTGCTCTGCCTCTCTGCTGCTGGTAACTGGGTCTTCGCTGAGGACACCTGGAAGCTGGAAGCTGCTGATCTTGGTGGTCGCTAATCAGAGGAACAAGGACCTGGTGCTGACCCGCCACAAGCAGGCGGCCTGGGCACTTCTTTCCGGCTGGTTTGCCCTGGTGACCAAACCAGGCCAGACTTTTGTGTTACTGCCGGTCACCTGGCCTCTCGGCTTCTATACAGGACATGTTGACTCCCAGCCGGCCCCTCTTGCTGCTGTGGGGAGCGGCCCTCCCTGGGCAGAGCCCCCAGCCCACCCACAACACAGGCTCCTGGTTCCAGTTCATGCTGCGTGGGTGACACCTACATGTGGTTAAAGCCGGGCACCAGCTCCGTCCCAGGCCCAGAGCCTGCGTGTTAAGACAGTGTGAGAGGCCGGCAAGGCCATTTGGGGAGGACACTTCCCTCCACTCCAGGGAGGAACCTAGAGGCACAGAGATGGCAGAGTGGGACCTCTGGGGGTTGAGCCAAGAGCACCACAGAGGGCTAAGTTCCCACATGCCTGACTGGCCCAGCCTGAGCAGGGCTGGATGCATGTGCTCAGGGACCTGTGTCCCTCAGTGGACAGAGGCCAGAAGGGCCCGTCAGCCCTGGATGCTCCTAGGGTAGCTGTGGTGTATGGAAATATCCAACACCTGACTGCCCCGTGGGCTCGGAAACCCCTTTCAATACTGTGAGTCCCTCCCCACTCCTCAAAGCTTTCTCAATGGTGCCTACAGCAACCCACCCCATGCTGCTGCAGGGATCCCCCACCCTCATCTGACTTCTGAAGAGGTTCGTTTCCTAGCCTGATTAAAGCCATTGTTTCAAAAACAAAACAAAACCAAAACCAGCGACCTGATTCACTGCCGTCAAGTCAATTCTGATTCACAGCCATCCTGTTGGACAGAGTAGAACAAGGGCTGCGCTGGACTATCCTTGTGGGTTGACGAGGTTGTTTTTACAGGAGTAGAAAACCTCATCTTTCTCCCAAGGAGCAGATGGTGCGTTCAAACTTCTGACCTTGTGGTTAGCAGCCCAGCCTGGTACCCACTGGAAGAGCGTTCCTGGGACCTTGCTTCTGCCCAGAGGTCCTCCTCCCTCCACAGGAAGGGTCACAGGATGATGTGCTGCTCTGCTCAGGTTGCCAGGACTCACAGAGATGCTGGGCTTGCCTTCCAGCCTGCAGTGGGACCCCAGGCCAGCGCCTCAGTGAACACCACTCCCTCAGCTTAGCAGAAGAAATGGTCCCCATCCGAGATTCAGAGCACTGAATCCAAGGCTCACATCAGAGATGCTCAGAAAAGAATCTTCTGTGTGTTTCCGGCAGAGGTGTAGTCTTGGATTGAGATCAAATGGAGCTACTTGTAGCCTTGCATACACGCAGCCTTGAAGAATGGCGGGTCCTTTCTATCAACTAACATCGTCGATCGTTAATGTTCACACTAACCACTGGGGGTGGTGTTATGTCATTATCTGGATGATATGTTGAAGTCCTTGACACTTCAGCGTGGTGAGCCAGGCCTTCCCTAGCTAGCCCTTCGTGAAGAGTCGAGTTGGGCACCAGTCATGGACAAGCCCTTGCCCTTTGGAGCCGTGAGCGAGGTGGTTTTCAAACTGCACCTGCCCCCTCCTACGGCGTTGTGAAAGCAGTTTAGGGCTTGCAATCAGTATTTCTCAAACAGTGACATGAAAGAAACTGGTATATTTAGAACCCAGCTAGAAAGAACTCTATTGGGACCCAGGCGGAAAGGCTACGTCTTGCTTCTTCATCCTTGTGGAGGGCGGCTGTCTGTGTATCTGGGGTCCTGTTCGGACACAGATAATGCCTGCTGTGGCTCACAAGGCAAACTTTTTCTTCAGTGTTCACCCTTGCTACAAGCTCTGTGGAGCAGCTGTGTGCCATTAGACATCTTTTGCCTGGAGGTCTCTATAGCCCATTCACAGAACCCCCCGCCCCCACCCGAACAAACATACCGTATATACTCTATAAGCCGAGTTTTTCAGCACATTTTTAATGCAGTTTTTGTGGTAAAATTAGGTGCCTCGGCTGATATTCGGGTTGGCTTATACTCGAGTATATACGGTAGACACAAACGCTCTAAGAGAATGGGTGGGCTTAGACACAAAACAAAAACAAACCCAATTGCCCACCAGCAAGTCAATGCTGACTGATAGGGATCCCATAGGACAGGGTCGAACTACCCCTGCAGATTTCTGAGAGTATAACTTTTTATGGGAGTGGAAAGTCCTGTCCTTTTCCCAAGGGAAGGCTGGCGGTTGCAAACTGCTGACCTTGTCGTTAGCAGCCCACTGTGTAACCACTATGCCACCAGGGCTTAGGTACAGGGAAGAGGGACTGTAAAGGCTCTGAGGGCAAGGCTAGGCGTGGTGTGTTCCAGGAAATTCAAGATTGTGTAGAGGAGAGTCTCCAGTGGGTGCCTGAGTCTGAGTTATTTTTCTCCTGGTTGGATGTGAGGCCCTTGGAAAGGTTTTTTTTCTCTCTTTGCCTCCAATCCCTGCCTCCAGGCTCTGTGCTGGCCTCCCCAGATCTGGTTAGAGCTCCTCCAGGTGCTGTAGATGTGTAGTGGGCAAGGTCCCAGACTGCCTAGCCAGATTACCGTCTACACTGCACCTGCCTCACTAGCTGTCTGGCAGACCTACTTCCGCCCCGAGGGAGGCATTTGCACAGAACTGCCAGCTGGTCAACAGTCTCTCCTGCTTCCCATTGGGTCTGCAGCCCAGGGGCACTCCCTGTGTCCCCCGTACCTTGCTGCGAGATCATCCCCCTTGACCCCACCTGATGCCAAGCAGCCTGACGCCTGGGACAGGAAATCAGCAGAGATGGTTGTCAGAGTAATGCAGCCTCTAACAACCGAGGGGTCCATCGGCACAATTGTACGGCTATCATATATAAAGATCACAATAAAGTCATAGAGGATAGGAAAGTTAGCAAGGAGACTAAAATAAAGGATTCAGATGCATTTCGTGGTAACATGCTCACCCCCGGGATGGCCATGATCTCAGCAGCCAGGTCCGCGCAGCGAGAGAGAGTCTTTACTGTCTTGGGATATTTGGAGGCAGTCATAAGTCATGTATATTCAGTAGTTACACACGTCACAAGGTGGGTGGTAACTACAGTAAAGTCTCTGAGCTCACAGGTGAGGAAACCTAATACCTGCATTGGGAGAAGGTATAAGGGGGGATAGGTGTTGTGGCAGGAGGAGAGAGCAAAAAGGATGTCTGCTTCCATAGGGAGATAGAATCAACCATGTGCTCACTTTAAAGTAGCATAGCCCTTAGGGGAGAATCTGTGGGAATGACATTTAACACAGGATCATGTGCTTGGAATTTTTCTCTAACTTACCAAAGTGGTGGTTTTTCTACTGTGGAATACTAGCTTTCCAGATTCCCTCTGTTATAAGTTAGGGACTATCGTCCTAGTCAGGTGTCCTCAAACTATGGCCCATGGGCCACATGCGGCCCACTAAGAACATTTATCTGGCCCACCGGGTGTTTTTGCCCCGTTTGGTTTTTTACTTCAAAATAAGATAGTGCAGTGTACATAGGAATTTGTTCATAGTTTCTTTTTAAACTATAGTCCGGCCCTCCAACGGGTCTGAGGGACAGTGAACTGGACCCCTGTTTAAAAATTTTGAGGACCCCTAGTCCTAGTCATATTTCCCTCAGTGTTAGTTTCCCACAGATGGTGGTGGGGCATTCATGACCTCATGGGAGGTGCAGCCAGGGAGGTCTTCCTGCAGGAGGTGACATTGTGGATGGGCCTGGAATGAGAACCAGAGGTCTTGGGTCGGGGTGATCAACTTCTAAGTGGAGCATAGGCAAATCCCGATGAGGAAGGAGGATGCTTGGCACATCATGGAGGCCCAGGGTGCCTGATCAGAGCCCATCCCACTCTCATCCTTATCTTCCCCCAGTTGGCACTGAAGAATGCCCTCCGTTACTTCCCCCCGGATGTCCAGGAGGTGCTGGCACCTGAGTTCGCCCAGGAGCTGCGTCTGTATGGGCACATCTACATGTACCGGTTCTGCCCCAGCATTGAGATGAGGTGAGCCCTGGGGCACGTGATGGGATCCTAGAATGGCAGCAGCAGGAGGGCACATCAACAGGGCAGCCCTAGGAGGAAGAAGGGGGGTCCTGAGTAGATCACCCTCTTTTAGGGGGGTGGGAGAAGAGGACACTGTGTTGTCAACAGTTGAGTTCTGGAGCTGAGAACGGGCCCTGGTCCCCTGGCCTGGCATAAAGAGAGGGCTAACCACTCCCAGTCCTCACCCACCTATCCTTGGCAGTCAGTGGCAGGCAAATATGGAGTCAAATTGTATACAAATATCAATTCTAACCACCAGTCTCAGGAGTCTACCCAAGAGTCCTACACAAGCTTCAGAGAGCTCTACCAGTGTCTTCAAATACTTGCCTGGTGCATGAGCACAGTAGGGTCCTGCACTCTACCACTCCCTCTGATTTCTGATTCAATAAGTATGTTACACAGGGTTCTCTAGAGAACAAAACCGGAACTCTAATAATTATATATATATTTATATAGATAGATAGATAGATAGATAGATAGATAACATAAGAAATACATTTAATTAAATTATAGAGACACTGGCAGTCCTTCAAGTCTTGAGGGCCGCCAGTAATCCTCTGTAGAGCAATACAGGCTATCTGGGCACAGGCGCAAACAGCAAGGCAGGTCACCAACAATCAGCCAGATGACAGGGTCTGACTGTGCCTAGCTCAAGAGATGTAAATTCAAAGGGTGTGGCGAAGCAGGTCTTGAAGGAACCTCAAATTACAGCGACACCACAGTCCACAGGTTAGGTGTCCCACAGGTAGTGTAGCTTGCAAATGGAGGCACAGAACAAGGCAGCCACACACTGGTCCGATGACCAAAGAGCAAGAGACAAGAGAGGCAAGGCTCGCCAAGCCATTTATCTCTCCACCCTTCAATTCATCCCACATGTGTTCATTGGCCGTGTTGGCACAATCAACGTTAACTATCTCAGTAGGGCTGGGTGGAGGGTGAGGTCTGTGTTTCCAACGGTTAGTTCTCAGGTGACGGGGATGGTCCCAGGACCTCACTTTGAGAACGTGATTGGTGAATGTGTCAGAAGCCCAGATGGTATTTGGACAATCCTCATGAACAGTAGTCTCCCCTCATTCACGCTCGGGTTCCCAGCCTGACGTTTTCTGGAGAACTGATACCCAAGAAGTCTTTGTTGGATGACTGAATGAATACAATGAGTCAGATGCTACCAGACAGAAAGGCTTCAGGAGGTGGACCTCTGTTGTGCATCGCTATCCGCTTTCTCCCTGTTGGTTTCTGCCAGCAGGGAGGTTGGGGATGAGCTCTCCATCCCTGGAAGTGTGGGACTCAATCAAATTGCCTAAGCATTGGATGGGCTCCTCCTTGGCGGTGGCATAACCTCACAGGCAGGCTGGCAGGTGCTGCGTGAGTCCCTGCCTTTCATGCCTGGGTGGTAGGTGGGAAGGCGACAACCAGTGGAGTCTGCATGTGGGGCAAGGGAGGAGCCGGGAGCCTTTCAGTCATTGTGCCTGCACTGCACTCTGATTCTAGGGCCTACCCCATTGAGCAGTACCCTTGCCGGACCCAGGCAGCCGCAGCCATCATGCACATGATCATGAACAACCTGGACCCAGCTGTGGCCCAGGTAACAGCCCCGAACCCAAGCCTGTTGTGTCCGGAGACAGCACCTGGCCCAGCACACGCTAATAGAAACAGAACCTGAGAAACAGCATGTCTCTTCCCTAGCTTTTTAATTTTTACATGCCGATCGAGTCGTAGGAAGTTGCAAAGGTAGGGCTCCTGGGTATGTCCCCGATGTTACCTCTTGTGGAATCAGGGCATGACATCAAGACCGGGGCTTCAACGTTGGTCCCAGGACATACATGCAATTCAAAATGTTCTAGTAACCACGTGGAAATTAAAATGAAACAGTGGAAGTGGCTGTAATGATATATTTTTTATGTAACCCAATAAGACATATTTTTTAATGTAACCCAATACTATATAGTTTAGTAACCCGATGCAGCCAAATAAGATCATTGTAGCAGGGAGATGCTCTACATTCTATCATCACACCATGCCTCTAAAGCCTGGGGATACTTAACACTTAGACACTTCGCTGTTCAGACCAGTCTCGGTCCAAGCACTCTGTGGCGCCACTGGGCGAGTGCCACCAAGCGGAGCCATGAGGGCTGCCCCCACAGGCCCGCCATGAACATTCTGGGAGAGCCTGGCCACAGATCGAATGCCCATATCAGACAAAAGGGAACCTTTGGAGGGTAGTTCCCTGAATTTCTTGAGGGCGATACACTTAGAGACTAATCACTGCACCCTCTGGCAAACACTTCTTTGGCTCTGGCCCTGACATGACCCTGGACCCAGACTGACACTGCCCCTGACCCGAGCCCCCGCTTTGATCCTAACTCTGAACCGAGCCCTAAGCCTGGTCGTAGAATGGACTTCCCCTCCCGCACGCCCAGGAAACCTCCCCTGCCCTGTCCCAGAGGATATGTGTCTTCTCCAGTTTCCCCAGGAGCTGGTGACCTATGGAGGAAATGGGCAGGTACTCAACAACTGGGCTCAGGTAAGATGGCTATGGGGACGCCCCGTCACCTAAGCCTTGGTCCCTTAGTTCTTCCGACTTAGAGGAAGCTTGCAGATCTGCTACCGAGCAGCTTGTTTTGCTGTGTCCCTGCTGCCGGCAGTATCACCATCAGAGCTTGTTTGGGGATGCTCAAGCTTATAGGAGTGGGGAGGAGCTGTGTGATCGGAGGCACCAGAAACCCCGGGAAAGTCCTGGGTGGATGGAGGGATGCGGCCTGCGCGAGCCTGGTGGGGCCAGCCAAGAGCTCTCTGGGCTAGCTTGTTCCTGGAATGCCCTGGACAGGAGGCACACGCTCACAGGCAATCCCTCTTCAATCTCCTCTAGTTCTGGCTGCTCATGTCCTACTTGTCGAAGATGACAGAGGAACAGACTTTGGTCATGTACAGTGGACATCCGCTGGGCCTCTTCCCCAGTAGCCCTGATGCCCCACGGCTGGTCATCTCCAATGGAATGGTGGGTCCAAAGAGAAGGGGGATGACTTGGGCATGTAACGCCTGTAGCTGGGCTTCACGGCAGGGAGATGCTGGGACAGGGAGGGGGGCCACGTGCCGCCACGCGGGCCCCCTGCCTACTCTCCTCCCTCTTTTCTAGGTCATTCCCAACTACTCCTCCAGGGCCATGTATGAGAAGCTCTTCGCCTTGGGGGTCACACTGTAAGTCACTTTTCCCATTATCGTCACAGCCACATGGCCATATGAAATGCAATTTTGAAAAATGCTCGCAGGTACCTCCCCTGCAGCATAAGTAATTTCATTTTTTACATGTTACCTATGGTTTTATAGATATGCCTATACATTTTTAGACTTGTAAGTGAGCGAACAAGGATCAAACAGGGAGCTAATGTATTCTTGTTTGTCCGAGTCTGTACCATTGTTTCCAGTTCTCTGCAACTATAAAGAATACTGCGGTGAAGCATAACTCCAGGATAATAAGCATTTTAAAATGTGGCCAAAGCTATAGTATTGGGAGGCAATTAAGGCAACCTTAGGATGATATTTTGCGGGGTAGTGATGATAGCGGTCACCGCCATTTGCTCTG